CCATGACATCAACAAGTTATAAATTACTTCTGTAACTGACCTTGATTGGAAGTAATAGATGTAACTGATGAAAATATCCACGACATCAACAAGTTATAAATTACTTCTGTAACTGACCTTGATTGGAAGTAATAGATGTAACTGATGAAAATATCCACGACATCAACAAGTTATAAATTACCTCTGTAACTGACCTTGATTGGAAGTAATAGATGTAACTCACTTGGACTGATTAGAAATTACTGCTGTAAGTGAGCTTAACTGATTAAAATCCAACTATAAATCAACACCTTACGTAACTCATCTTGACAGGCGAGAATCCATCAAACTAATAACTATTTCTACCACTCATCTTGACAGGCGAGAATCCATCAAACTAATAACTATTTCTACCACTCATCTTGACAGGCGAGAATCCATCAAACTAATAACTATTTCTACCACTCACCTTGACTGGCGAGAATCCATCAAACTAATAACTATTTCTACCACTCGCCTTGACTGGCAAGAATCCATCATACTAATAACTATTTCTACCACTCACCTTGACTGGCAAGAATCCATCAAACTAATAACTATTTTTACCACTGACCTTGACTGGCAAGAATCCATCAAACTAATAACTATTTCTACCACTCACCTTGACTGGCAAGAATCCATCAAACTAATAACTATTTCTACCATTCACCTTGGCTGGCAAGAATCTATCAAACTAATAACTATTTCTACCACTCACCTTGACAGGCGAGAATCCATTAAACTAATAACTATTTCTACCATTCACCTTGACTGGCAAGAATCCATTAAACTAATAACTATTTCTACCACTCACCTTGACAGGCGAGAATTCAACAATACATTAAGAAATTAGTATATATTATTACTACTCATGTTGACTGCAAGAATCCAACAATTCTTGCAGTCAACATGAGTAGTTACAATATCTACTAGTTTCTTAATGTATTGTTGGATTCTTGCAGTCAACATGAGTCGTAACAATATTTACTAGTTTCTTAACATATTCTTGCAGTCAACATGAATAGTAACAATATCTACTAGTTTCTTAATGTATTGTTGGATTCTTGCAGTCAACATGAGTCGTAACAATATTTACTAGTTTCTTAACATATTCTTAGATTCTTGCAGTCAACATGAGTAGTAACAATATCTACTAGTTTCTTAATATATTGTTGAATTATTGCAGTCAACAAGAGTAGTAACAATATCTACTAGTTTCTTAATATATTGTTGGATTCTTGCAGTCAACATGAGTAGTAACAATATCTACTAGTTTCTTAATATATTATTGAACATTAAGAAACTAGTAGATATTGTTACTACTCATGTTGACTGCAAGAATCTAAGAATACGTTAACAACTATTGTTATAATTCATTTGACTGACAAGTACCGAATACCAACAGATAAATATGTGATGTAACTGACAACATATGATTAGCGAGAATCGAACAATACATCAACAAACTATTAGTGCAACTCAGTTTAACTAACTAGGATCCAAGAGATAAATTTTTGGCGTTATTGTCATTGACTATGAATCATTTATCATTAGTTTCGAAGTATGTAAGCGTTACCTTGACTGACAAAGTTCCAACACGAGATCTGCAGCCAAATAGGTGTTTGAAAGCTTTAGGTGTTGGGATAATGTTGAAAGGGGGTGGAACCGTTCCTCCGTCTTCAAAGTAACTGATCCATAGTTTGCTTCGAGCAAACTTCCACTCGATATCCGATCGTTCCTTTTATAAGAAAATTTGTCACTTCAGCTAAATAATACAATTTGAATATTTTCTCCAACATCTCAGGCTAAACGAAAAGTCGTAACTTTTGTAATTGTTTATGTAACAATACTGTTTGTTATATATTCACATGAGAACGAAAAATGAGCATATTTGGGCTCCATGTAGAGATAAGAGAATGTATGAAGTTACACTAGGTAACAAGGGGATGTATGAAGTTACACGAGGTAACAAGGGGATGTATGAAGTTACACTAGGTAACAAGAGGATGTATGAAGTTACACGAAGTAACAAGGGGATGTATGAAGTTACACGAAATAACAAGGGGATGTATGAAGTTACACTAGGTAAGAAGAGGATGTATGAAGTTACACGAAGTAACAAGGAGATGTATGAAGTTACACGAAGTAACAAGGAGATGTATGAAGTTACACGAAGTAACAAGGGGATGTATGAAGTTACACTAGGTAAGAAGAGGATGTATGAAGTTACACGAAGTAACAAGGGGATGTATGAAGTTACACGAGGTAACAAGGGGATGTATGAAGTTACACGAGGTAACAAGGGGATGTATGAAGTTACACGAGGTAACAGGAGGATGTGTGAAGTTACACGAAGTAACAATAGGATGTATGAAGTTACACGAGGTAACAAGGGGATGTATGAAGTTACACGAGGTAACAAGGGGATGTATGAAGTTACATGGAGTAACAAGGGGATGTATGAAGTTACACGAGGTAACAAGAGAATATATGAAGTTACACTAGGTAACAAGGGGATGTATGAAGTTACACGAGGTAACAAGGGGATGTATGAAGTTACACGAGGTAACAATGGGATGTATGAAGTTACACTAGGTAAGAAGAGGATGTATGAAGTTACACGAAGTAACAAGGGGATGTATGAAGTTACATGGAGTAACAATAGGATGTATGAAGTTACACGAGGTAAGAAGAGGATGTATGAAGTTACACGAGGTAACAAGGGGATGTATGAAGTTACACGAGGTAACAAGGGGATGTATGAAGTTACACGAGGTAACAGGAGGATGTATGAAGTTACACATGGTAAAAATGGATTAAATAGTGTTTCGTATGGAGAAAAATAAGAAGTGGGGGTTCCATCGAGACTATGTTGGGATTATAGAAGGAAAGAGTGCTTCATAATGACGTCATTGTGAATCTAAGTCTAACATTCACACATAATGACGCCATTGTGAATCTAAGTCTAACATTTCACACATAATGACGTCATTGTGAATCTAAGTCTAACATTTCACACATAATGACGTCATTGTGAATCTAAGTCTAACATTTCACACATAATGACGCCATTGTGAATCTAAGTCTAACATTTCACACATAATGACGCCATTGTGAATCTAAGTCTAACATTTCACACATAATGACGCCATTGTGAAACTAAGTCTAACATTTCACACATAATGACGTCATTGTGAATCTAAGTCTAACATTTCACACATAATGACGCCATTGTGAATCTAAGTCTAACATTTCACACATTTGTTGTTTGGTCAGTTTCTTAGCTCTCTCTGGTTTTACATAATTAGTTGAATTTTATAACGATTTATCTATTTTTGGAGAAAGTTCAATGCAGTTCTTCATATATACACCTGGAGAAAAGTTAAGCACCCCCAAATATTTTTCAGGATTACTTATTGAAAATAAGGTTTAATTTTCATGATGTTGAGCAATTTATAATTTCAAACATAATTAAAAGGATGTGAGCGTTCAGGTGTGACATTTAAATCAGGCGCGTTTTTTTCCCCACGTGCAACTTGCTCCCTTCTTCACGTCCAATATGCACTATTTTCTCGTGCATCAAATCCGTATTTAAGTCCCGAATTTCTGAATGCAAAATCATTTTAAGAAGAATGCGCAGAGATGGCAAATTATTGGCATGAATTGCGCTGGTATGTCCTACAAGGCGATAGGTAGACAGCTTGGCTATCATTGCACAGTGATCAGCCGTTTGGTCAGAAAACATGTTGCCACCCA